GCTCTGATACCATGATTGAAAGACCCCAACTTTCGTATTTCTGAAAGACCCAAACTTTCATACTTCATAATATTATTACTCCAAAACATGCTAGTTGCATATTCATAAAAGCAATATTTTACAATGATAAAGAGGTTACAAATTACTGGATATAAACCGACTATTACAAAGTGTTATATATTACATAACTACCCAGGATATTGTAATTTATACAACCATAAACTGAAGTACAAAAGTACTATTATAAACTATTCTAAATCTTCCAAAAGTATACGATCATAATGGTTACTTATCTCATGCAATTGTTCAACATTTGTAGGGTAACTAGTGACGCTTAGTGGGTTTAATAATAGATACAATATAACGTTATGCCATATATATATAGTTCAATATGGCAGAAGCAACTAGAAACATGGAACAACAAAGTCATATGTGAATCATGTGTTAAGCATTCCATATCATTCGATGACTTGATTTAAAGATATACAATCAATGAGACATAGCAATTTCCATACTTGATATACATCAATAAAGCTTCGGCCTAAATGGCACAGAAGACATAACATTTCGGATTAACATCATGGTAGATTTCAGGTTTATAGCCCTATCTAACCATTTGCCAATGCCATAGAATAGAAGTCATTCTCTTACGGAGACATGCCCTACATGGCTAGAGGCTACGTACCAGTGCCAATGTGAATCTAAGTCCTTTCACTGATCACATGGTCAAAGGTATTACTTTTTGCTATAAAAGTAGCGAATAAAATAACATGGGAAAATAACCCAGAATAATAACAATGAAAATCACATAGCACATATAACACATAACCTACAATTGTTCCTATATATTGAACTCGCCTTGAATTAACCGGGGGTCAAAATAGTAATTTGGACAGCACTTCGGCTTTAAATATGACTTTCTATGTTGAAAGCTGGGAGCTTTATTGAAAATGGGGCTTTGCGAAGGTAGAGCTTCAAAACCGAAAAGATAAATTTTCCGGGCTTATCGGGAACTTCAGGGCGTGTTTCGGGTGTTAAAAATGATACTGGGGCTTCGGGGGATGTTAATATGAAGGAAATATTGAAAAGGGGGTAAAAGATGGCAAATTTCCAAATGTATCCAAGAAGGCTCGCAAGCCCTCTATTTATATGGAGGTCGGAAGTCGGCTAAGGAAGGGGGAGTCAGCACCGAGAAAACGAGGCAGCAGTAGGAGCGAAGCACGTGGCGCGGCAGCTGGCTCAGATGCGAGGAGGTGGCAGCCAGATGTGAGGCGTCTTAGGAGGCGTCTTAGACATCGCCTAGGACGCCAAAAGGCGCGTCGGAAGTTTAATGGACCTCAGCTTCGGACCAATCAGCGACGGACACAAGTAGGACATCTGTGTGAGGGTGAGTCACTGCATCGGACACGGGGCGAGCTCGTACGAGGGATGACGTGGCCGAACCTTATCCATGCGAATTTCTCAGAAATTGAGCCCAAATCTTCTAAAATTTATAAGTTTCGCATACGGGCTCCGTTGTTGACGTTCTTTATATGCACGCGTAGATAAAATTAAGCTCTACAACTTTCATTTAGACTTCTTCAGCTAATTTTGATCCTAATTTTAATATTATTATTTTAAACAGACTGGGACAGAAAAATCCGTTAAAAATTCATAACTTTTTCATCCGACATCCGTTTTTGTCAGAATTTTTACTCATGTACTACAAATGACGAGACCTTTGATTCTCGTTTAGGTTGTATCGGCTAAATGTCACTCGATCTAAAATTCGAGTTTTTAGGTGTCTACTACTATTCTAAAACTTAGAAAAATCATAACTTCCTCATATGAAGTCAGATTTTGGCATTCTTTTTATCGAACATCTCGGTTTAAGGAATACTACGACTTTCATTTAGGTCACTAAGGCTAAAAATTAGTTTATCAAAAACTCACTTTTTAAGTCATTCGGCGTTGTGCCGATTTTGTTGCGGATCTTCGATTGGTCATAACTTCTTCGTTATAACTCGGATTTCAACGAGGTTTTCGCCTACAAGTTTTTAACGAGATTATCTACAATTTTCAATGATAAAATTTTACTTATTCCAAATTTTATATTTTCGTTAAATTTACCATTTGATATTTGATTGGAATCTCATAAGACTTCCAATACTTTCTGAATAATTTTAAGCAGATTTTTACTTCATTTCTAGTAAAAACCTTCAATTAGAACTCAACATTCAAATTCACATAATATTTCGTTATATTATTCATTACAAAACACGATTTCAAAACGTGTATGTTACAAATTATATCCAACACAAGAAATTGGTCAATGTTCAATCTCTGAAACACCTCAAGACAATGATGAAGGTATGGGTGATTATCATAGATACGAGTAGATGATTATCGAAAGCATGCATAAACCTGATGCTCCTTACTATCAACATGCTCCTTATTGTCAACAAGCACTAGAAAACCTAAATCAATCAGCCCAAACATTCTATAAAATGTTGAACCAAGTTAGCGAGCCTTTATGGGACGGGTCTAAAAAAGCTTCCACACTCTCCACCACCGCCAAATTGTTGAACTGGAAATCGGAGTGCAATGTATCAGACTCTTTATTTGATAAATTAATTCCTATAATCAAAGACATTCGACCTATAGGTGAGAAGCTTCCTAACAACTTTTTCGAGACCAAGAAAATGTTGATGCCATTACAACTACCTTCACAACGGATTCATGTGTGTATAAACCATTGCATGTTATTCTATGGATATCATGATAATCTGGATCGTTGTGTAGTATGTAATGAAAGTAGAAACATGGAAAAGGGCAACAAGGTTCCTAATTTGGTCACGACTTACATGCCTATTGGACCTAGACTTCAAAGGTTGTTCTATTCGAAAAAGACGGCTCAATATTTGACTTGGCACTCAGATCATCCGATAGATCATGAAAAGATGATACATACTAGTGAAGGTCGAGCTTGGAGTCATATTGATGAAGTTTTTCCTGATGTTGCATAAGAGAAATGTAATATCCGACTTGGGTTATGTATCGATGGATTTAGTACAAATAATTCAAATGGGAGTCCGTATTCATGCTGGCCAGTATTTATCACAATATACAGCCAACCTCCTTGGTTGGCCATAAAACATCAATACATATTGCTTCCTTTGATCATTCCTAGTCCAAAGAATCCTGGACAAAATTTAGATGTTTTCCGACAACCTTTAGTGCATGAGTTAAAGATGTTGTTCATAGATAGCATTGAAACTTATGATGCTCATCGAAGGGACAATTTCCAGATGAGAGTTGTATTGATGTGGACAATTAGTGATTTTCCTGTTTATGCAATGTTGTCCGAACGGGTATTGCATATGGTTATGAGATGACATGCAACAATGAAGAGCCCGCTAGTGATTTTTTCTATAATGGGCCTGAGCATGAATAGGAGCCAAAGCATGGGCATGAGTCTATGCATGAGCATGAGTCACCAATGGTTCAAACGTCCCATTATGCGGATACACATGGTGGATCAAATGTTGTAGATTTGAATGGCTCTTAAAGGCCATTTATCACACGAAAGGGGTACAAGTTTCTCTTTATTTATTTATTTTTTATTTTTATATTCATGATTGTTATTGTTATAATTATCCTTATATGGTTATCTCAATATTGTAGGTTTGAGAGACAAAGTATTCATCGGACGATTTTAAAGATATTTTGGTAGTCTAAAAATAAACCTTGGATTACTTATAGAAAAATTCCGAAGGAAGTTGTCACTCAAATGTTTGAGCGTTTCAGGGTAATATATTAATTATTTATTTTTAATATCTATTTCTCATTCATTCTTATTTTGCATTTTAGACTTTTACTTTTTATTTTTTTTACAGACACAATACTAGTGGGATCCAAATGAAGAAGGGAGAATTCGTGAAGGTTTTGAGAATATGCTGAAAGATCGCTACAGGGTTAGAATGAAGGATGCCAGGGAAGCATCGGTAAATTCTGCAAGAAAAGATGGGCACATTATCGCAGAGATTAATGATAACTTTGAGATTCTTGCAAATTACAATCATGCTGAAATACATAGAGATGTTTGGCGACGTTTGTGTAGGGTAAGCAATCTAATACATTATTGCTTATTTTGTTGTTTTTTATTTTGTACTATATATATATATATATATATATATATATATATATATATATATATATATATATATATATATATAGTTAGGTTCAAATGTTTTCACTATCTATTGTGTGCATGTATGATTGATTCTGGACCAATCATTTTAGTTATTTTAAGAAAGTAATTAATGCTTATTAAATGCTGAAGATGTAATTAATACCTATTATATCTTCAACATGTAATATGCATCAATTACTTTCTTAAAATAACTAAAATGATTGGTCCAGAATCAGTCATACAGGCACACAATAGATAGTGAAAACAAAATAAGCTAACCCTATATATATATATATATATATATATATATATATATATATATATATATATATATATATATATATATTAAAGAAATGGGACAAATATGAGTGGAAAAAGTTGTCCACAAGCGGAAAAAAAACCTTAACATTGATTTTGGCGGTGCAGCGAGACATACGGGTGGTAGCATTGGATTTGAGGAGCACCGTCTTAAATTGGTAAGTAATCATAATTATAGATTTTAGCGATACATTTTTCTTTCAACACTAATTACATCAATTATGTTGTGTCGTTTATATAGAAAGAGTTGACGGGTGAAGACCCCTCATTCATTGATCTTTATTATAAGACATATCTTATCGCCGAATCAAAGAAGATATATTTTGGGGGAGATAAAGAGGTGCCATTGGATTTTGTGAATGAGACATCTACGGTGGCGATTGTAAGTTGTCTTTATCTCTCTCTCTCTCTATGTATATATATGTATATATATATATATATATACACACACACACACACTATTGCATAAGAAATGATATGAAAGTAGCAAATTTGGTAATTAGTTCATAAACTATCTCCCCTCTACGACAGTGATGGTCATATTGTTTACAGAGCAATCCTTTGCTTTGGTTTCACCAAAATTTGACCGTGATTCCACTCTTCCGATAGCAAATGCCGGTCTGTTTGGCATGGGTAATGGTGTGGCGTCATTGAGGAGCATGGAAATCATATCGTATGTTGTTGGCCTATCTGTTGCACTTTCTTGTACGCAGAGAAGGGCTATGTGCACAACCCTTAAGAATTGTTTTAGAACAAAAGTATTTCCCAATTTAGGATCCTTCAAGTCCAAAGCATCCCCTAGTTGCCATTTCTCCCATGCCTAAATCATTAGCAAGTGATTAATAAATCATGCATGAAAATAATGTTTGTTCAACTCTACCAATAAGTAATATGTTAATCAGCCATTCTGGTAAAAAAATTTGTTTGTCCATTGTACTTCACATGTTTTGTAAGATAGCACATCCTGATAAAAGAAATGATATGACATTTTTTCTGTTATACTTTCAAAAGAAGTAATTTTTTGTTTCTGTTTTTAGAACGTCAAAAAATAAATCTTCCTGTTGATAAGTGTAAAGTAGTAAAAAAAATTAGAACAGCAAAAACAAATCACCCAGTCGATAAGTGTACTCAAATCTTCTTATCAGAAAATAATCAAACCATGAAGCACAATGACAACATAAAAGCCAGAGAAAAATAACTTTCGACATCCTCACTTTGGAGATCAAACTGAATCAAATTTAGGAAGGAGTTAAGTAAGATGTTCTCATCTTCAACGAAGTCTGTATATTATATAATTAAAAGATGTGAATTTTACTACACTTACATATCCAATAAGATTAAATGTCCGGTCAAGATGAACGAAGCTACTATTTCTTCTTCCACTAACAATTTCCAAGATTAGGACTCCAAAGCTGAAGATATCGGACTTAATAGAGAAGGTGCCTTCCATTGCATACTCCGGAGACATATAACCACTGAATACAACATGGGACATGGCATCGTAAGAAATAATAACATTGAATTTGACAAACCAAAAATATATCATGTTCTTGTAACCTACAAAATAAAGAGAGACAATTAAGATAGAAATAATGATAACAATAAAAGGTAGCAAGTGAGGGGTCTAGTTATTTATGGAGATATTTTGTGGGTGATAAATATAGCCTATAAATTGTCTTCATTTTGTTTGTGTGAAAAAAGAAGAAAAACAATTTCTTTTGTTCTCCGTTCATATTATCATCTCCAAAATATTTTATCTTAAAATTATAGCCAACAAATTGGCATCAAAGCGTTGTTCAAATCAAATGAAAAACTCAATTCCTTTCTCTTTTGTTCCTCAACTGAGTAAAAGAAAAATTATGGAAAATGGTATGTCCAAATCATGTTTCTTGGTTCTCAAGAAGAATGGGAGGTAACTGAGAAAGGGCATGCCAAAGTTGAAAATGATGAGTGATAAGCGTAACCTCAAAAAGGGAATCTAAGGAGGAAAAATCAATAATCTGTGTCTGTCATGAATTGGTAATAAATTAATGTTCGATTTATCTCAAGGAAATTCCTATAGCGTTTAGCTCTGTAAAGATGAAGTTCCTGTGTTTGGTGTAGCTTGTTCTTAACTTTTTCCAATATGTTTGTAGGTTAACATTGCGTAATTTAAGTTAATGAAATTCAGGTTTGATTTGTAATTCACATTGAAATTGGCTGAATTTGAATTATTTCTAAAAAAATGTTTCATCATTCTTACTCACAGTTTGTTCCAAGTAAATACCCAAGTGTGCTTGCTTAACTGATAGTTCCTGGTTATCGCTGTGAATTAATTTTTGTTTTTGTGATTGCTTCAGTTTGACCATGTTAAACTATTTGATTATTCAGTAGATAAATTCTTAATTATATTAGAGATTAACCTGTAGTGAAACTCAAAACATGATATTTGTTAGATTCATGGCAGCAGACTTTAGACTTCATGAAGAGCTCTCATACAGCTTGAAGAGGAAGTGGCCTTTTCTTCCTGACAAGATGAAATATGAGGTGGTTATAATTAAGAGCCTTCTTGTGGACTCTTTGGTGTAACAGAAACAGTATTTGTTTTAGAAACTCTGTTAAAGAACATTCCTAGTTTAGTTGATGTTAAATGTTCTTCCTTCTTGTGGATGAGGATTACAAGCAAACTAGGAAAAGACCTCGATATGGACTTGTGGTTTGTAAGGTAGTTTTCTCCCTTCAGAGTTATTTTGCTAGCGCCTTGCTCGTTGTGAATGAAGCTGTGTTGTTAAAAAAAAGAGATCCTTCTGGACCTAAGTTAGTGTCTTCTTCTGGGTTTTTAGTTATCCTGACTTTGTCTTTAAGGAGGTGGTTGTGCAGCCTGTGCTCGCTGGAAGCTTCAACCATCATGCACAAAAGGTGATTAATCTTCACGACTTCAACTAACAATAGGCTTCCACATTATCTTGAAGGCGGAATCATGGAAACAGGTGCAACCTAGTATGCTTAATTGTTAGGTATTATTTTGTCCTACATGGAATTAATTCTTTGAATTTTATAATAAACGAATGTATATAAATCCTTGAAAATATAGATTTGTTTTTTTGACAGTTAACACGTACCTTTAAATCTTACTCCTAAACTACTCATTTTTTAATATTTTTTTTACTAAAGATCTTGGGTATTATACCATCCAATGTTAACTAATTAGGGAAAAAGACTTATACAGGTAATATTGTTTTCATTTTGTATATATTTAGCCACTAATGTTTTTTTTAGGATCCTTATTAGCCCAACAAAGTTCAACATAGAAGAACAATTGACCTAGCTGGCCATCCATCAGGAAGACTTTCGATAGGTTTCAGGATCAGGAACAACTTCGTCGGACTGGGAATTACTGGGAATTGCGCCACTTGACCATATCATCCAACTTATAATCTGGCTCTGATACCACTTGCTAGGATCACTACTAGCTCAACAATATTAAACATAAAAGAACAAGGTTTCATTTTCTAAAACAAATTGGTGATAAAAAGAACTATCCGGTGTCATAATACTACCATATAGGTTTTCTTTTACTTTTTTGATGTGGGATTGGATTTGTAACCCAATAGTCTTTGTTTTGTTATTTGTTATTTGTTATTTTTTTATTATTACTTTTTTAAATACGCCAATTAACTTTTTGGTTTCATCCACATTAGATCATTATGACATATTGTTGTAGATTTCCGGCCAAAAGATGGATTTTCACCCAAGTTTGTCACCTTTTGCGAGCCTCCGGTCAACTTCTCTGGTGATATATTATTTTTCCGGCTATTCAGTTTTCCCGACCAATCTCTGGAAGTGATGGTATGTGCCATTATTGGAGTGTTGGTGGTGCGCCATCGGATACGAAACTCCGAACAGTAGGCAAAGTCTATGGATATACTCAGGGAGTTTGAGGACCAGTGTGAGACTTCCATTGCGAAGCTTTGACAGGTTGCTAACTGTCGAGATGCATGTCAGAGATTTGCAATTAAAGGCCATGACTATGGAGATGCACATTAGAAATCGGCTAGAAAATAGAATTGCTAGAAAAACACAGATTGAGGAAGAGAAACCCAGAAATAGAATACAAGATTGACCAGAAAAACATAATCGTTGGAAGTTGGCCGGAAAAACTGAGTTATCGGAAAAATTATATATCATCGTAGATGCCAAAATCACCGGAAAATCCATCTTTTGGCCGTAAACCTACAAAAACAAGTCATAATAACATAATACGGGCAAAACCAACAAGTTAACTTGTGTATTTTGCAAAAAAAAAAAAAAAAAAAAAAAATACAAAAAAAAAAATAATGACGAAATGCGTACAAAACGCAAATAATAATACCCTTTAGTCATTTTCCGTAGCTATTTATTCTACCTCAGTTTGAATTATGATCTTGACATTTACATCATCCATTCATTGAGTGCACTCATTTCACTTGTAAATTTTGGATCTGAACCAGAATAGCATGGGAAGATACTTTCCAACTAATGGTTTAATAAAATAAAAATCAAATAATGTTAATGTACTTTATTATATGTAAGATGTATTGTATTTTGTATAGTGTATTTCTGTGTATATAGTCCATTAGAGTTAGCCAACTATAGTCAGGCCCTTTAGGTTACACGTATTTGTCATGTTATATATTTACATTGCATTGTTATCCAAGGCAAGGAGACAAATTACCATTCCTCAATATGGTTTCAAAGCAAGCGGAACAATAAGTGAATGTATATGGAAAGTAGTAGGTTTTAATACAATATCTATTTTTTAAGCAAGTGACAATTGTTCAAAAATAATTTGTATGAATTAGTTAAAAGACATCATAAATATAATTTAGGAGTTTGATATGTAAGTAGGATACTACTATAAATAAATAAATGGCATTACATTGTAATTGGGATTCTAAAGATTTGGTTAAAGAAAGGATGTAAGCACAACTCCTAAGATAAAGAGTTTGGTGATGCTATTGAATTTGCAAAGGAACATATCAAGAATTGTTGAGAAGAAGAAGATGATTTCAGAAGAAAATCTAGTGTTAAAGTGAACAAATTTATGGATATATGGACAAAGTTTCAGGCTAGTCGTTTAAGTGATAACTTATTATGTAATTGACAAGATATACTTTTTGTGTAATGGATTCTTATTATTTGTATATGTGAAATATCTTTGTATTATGCGGCATTGAATGTGATGTATTTAAATATTAGTAAGTGTGTGTGTATATATATATATATATATATTGTTGTGAGACCCGTATATTATACGGGTTGATTAAAAAAAAATGTTAAGTACCAACGATTAAATAGAAATTTTATTTGAATTTGAAATTAAAATAAATGAAAATTATGAGAAAAAAAACATGCAAAAAATAAATAAATTAAAATTATGTGTTTAGTGTATTAAACGGGTTAATTATAACAAAATGTTAAACATAAAGGTTTAAACTGTAAATTTATTTGAAATTGAATTTAAAATTTAAAATTTAAAATTTGAAATTTGAAATTTGAAATTTGAAATTTGAAATTAATAGTCATTATGGTAGTTTAATTTATGGAAACTAAATTAATGATATACTGAAAATGAAAATTAAAGTAATGACAAGTGGAAAATAAATATATCTCAAATTATGACAAAATGACATGTGGCTAATTTTATAAAAGAATGACATGTGGCAAAGTCATTTTCATTTATTAGGGTATATATATATATATATATATATATATATATATATATATATATATATATATATAGAGAGAGAGAGAGAGAGAGAGAGAGAGAGAGAGAGAAAGAGAGAAAGAGAGAGAGAGAGAGAGTCAAGATCAAATAAGAAGGAAAATTTTGGTAGGAAGGTAAGAAATTTTTATATGTATTTTTTAGCAAAAAAAACGAAATGAATCATTAGATGATTTAAAAGTAAGATGATTCACAAAAAAAATTCCGAAAAAACATTTTCATGATTCATTTTTACGTAAATCAAGAAAAAAATCATTTTTATAACAATTTTAGTGAATATCAACAAAATATTGAGAAGGTGGATGGTCACGATGACTGGCCAGAGGTCCGGCAAATGTGCAACCTGCATAGAGTAAAAAGCGGCAAGAAGGTCATTACATCCTACTATGTATCCAATCTTCCCGAAGGAGTTTTGAAGGCACAAATATGGAAATCCTTTCAGAAATATGGAAGACTGGCGGATATCTACATTGGAGGTAAAAAGGATCGCTCCGGTTCAACATTCGCTTTTGTTAGGATTGAAAACATCAGAGATGCAAAAGTTTTGGAGCATGAAAAATCATACCAGGTAGCATGGAAAGAAACTAATGCAACTAGAGATTCAAGAACATTCGCGGAGGTGACTAAAGGTACGACTTCTAGACCATTAGCAGCAGGGGCGACTCCAATTGCTATCAAACCTGCAACATTTTCTGTTGGAATGGAAGACTGTGTGATGGTTGGTGAGACAATTAGTATCCAACAGATTGCAGATTTACCCACGGTACTTCCTATCGACGGAAACCCCGCTGGTATGGTCTATTACATCGGTGGTTTAAATGTTATTATAAAATTCATCAATTCAAAATCCGCGAAGGCATTATATGATAATGAACATAACTGGAAATGCTGGTTCAAGTGGCTCAAAATGGGATTCAATGACCTGATACCAGAGAGGATTACATGGATTAAAATTCTTGGCTTGCCGGTTAGAATTAGATCCAACGAAAACTTTCCACGCATTGCAAATACTTTTGGGACCACTCTTGAGATTATTGGTGTGGACTGGAAGGCTTTTGATATTTCTATTGGTGAGGTTTGCATCATCGCCAAACACAACACAATTATAAACGATGTGGTCAACATTTCTTTTGTAAACAAAGTATATTCTGTTGGTGTTGTAGAGTATGATAGAGATTGGACGACTTTTGATAGATCGATACAGAAGGACCCTGTTGCCCAAGTTAATGATGATATTGATGATGAACCAGAAGATGACATGGAGGTGAACGACTCTAAAGAAGATAAAGGTGACAAACAAGATTTTGAGGAAGAAGACAATCAAGATTCTAAGGAAGATGCGATCTCTGAAACATGGATGGGTCCAATCCAACAAGAATGTGCCCCTAAAGATGGGGAAATCGTTGAAGAATCTGGCGAGTATGTCGCTCCGACGACGGTGGCGTTAATGTCCGAAGACCTTGACAATCCAAGGTTGCATTAAGTGTTGATGGACAATCACCGCAACATATTAATGTAGGGAATATTCATGACATGGGTGATACCAGGGATGATAGGAATGGTACTAGTGTAAAAGGTGGTCAACTCCCAGAAGGTCCAGTTAACAATTCAATCAAACCTATTAGCACACCTCCTGAGCCCAATCATAACGCATCTCTTAGGCCCATTTATACAATACCACTTCCTGGAGGTGACGAATGACCCAACACTCCAACCGAGAATCATATTGCAAATATTGTTCCGATGTTTGGCAAAGGAGAATCATATGATAAACGAAGAAGAGTAATGGCTGTGAAAATGCTTTCTAGTAACAACGCGGTGCGAGCACTTCAATCTTCAAATTACCCTTAGATTGTACATCCCCTTGCAACCACTCCATTCGATCTTAACACATCTGCTACTGAGTCTAATTCTAAGGAAGATCATTCCATTGATGACTCAGGTTCCTCATCTTGTGAACTCACTAAACTTTTCAAGGTCGGTTGTGATGTTGGGTTTCAATTCTCAAAAGACGACCCAATTGTCACCGGTATTGCAAACCTAGGCGATAGCGTTAAAATGCAGATCTAATGAATTGCTTAAGTCTCCATATAAGGGGGTGTGGGGAATCTCACAAAATTGACTGGTTGCACAGGCTTAAACATTCACATAAAGCCGACTTTATATGTCTTCAAGAAAAACGAGTTGCTGATTCAAACACAATTGTTCTTGTGGGAGCTTGGGGAAACAATAACTATGATATGGTTTTTGTTAATCCAACTGGAAGGTCTGGTGGGATTGTCTCTATTTAGGATCCAAACATTTTCTCTAAAAGACAAGTTACGTCCTCCCGATACTTCATTGCAGTAACAGGTCAATGGAAAGGTGTAAACGAGGTTTCAACTATAGTTAACGTATATGCACCAGAAGCAAAGTCGGATAAAAGAAAACTTTGGTTAGACTTGATTAACCTAAAAAGCAATACATATGGTATTTGGATATTTCTTGGAGACTTCAATGCAGTAAGGAGAGCTGATGAAAGGATTAATTCACGATTCTATCATAGCATGGCCAGTGATTTCAATGAATTCATCACAAGAATTCAATCATGGTGGAGGAAAATTTACATACATGTGTGATGATGGCCGTAAGTTGAGTAAGCTGGACAAAATTCTAGTATGCACCAATTTCATTGCACATCAACCATTATCCATGGTCATTGTCCTCGACCGTGAGCATTCTGATCATTCACCACTCGTTGTCAAACCTTCTAACCAAGATTTTGGGCCACCTACATTTCGCTTCTTCAACTCGTGGTTGTATAAAGATGGATTCAATGAGGAATTTTTAAAGGCGTTGAATTCCTTTAGTGGTTTCGGTTTACTAGATATGTTTCTCATGTCCAAGCTCAAGTATGTCAAAGCTTGTATCCGTAAATGGAGAATTGTAGACTGTAATAAGGAATTGGAAACATTGAAGCAGTCGAAGGCCAGGGTCTCGGAATTGGAACTTAGGGCTGAATCCCGTGCATTATCTGATGGTGACTTACTAGAAAGAAAGGAATGTAAACGACAGATTGTTGAACTGGAGAGACTTGCAAAGCTTGATCTTCAACAAAAGGCGAAAGTCAAATGGCTTGCTGACGGTGATGAAAACACTGCTTTTTTCATGCTACAGTAAGAAGTAAAAGTCATAAAAATCGTGTGCATGGTATGGTTATTAATGGTGTTTGGAATACAAACCCAAAAGATATTATGAAGGAGGTTCACGATTTTTTTGGTACCAAATTCCATGACATGTGGCCTGAGAGACCTAAGCTTATCAGTAACTTATTCAAATCGCTATACTACGATCAAATTGAAGCATTGGATTCACCTTTTCTTATTGATGAAGTAAAACAAGCCGTATAGAGTTGGGGGTGGGGGGGATAAGGTGCCGGGGCCTGATGGATATACCTTCAAAATTCTTAAAAACAAATGGGAGCTTATCAAATTTGATCTTTTTCGCTTTTCACAGCACTTTGAATCATATGGCCGCTTTGCACGTGGTTGTAACTCATCATTCTTTACACTCATCCTAAAAGTAAAAGACCCCCTCGATCTTGGAGACTATCTCCCCATCAACTTGATTGGTTGTCTCTACAAAGTGATTGCTAAACTTCTTGCCTCCCGTCTAAAGGTGGTCATCGATTCTATAATAGATGATGTCCAATTTGCATACATCAAAGGTAGAAACATTCTCGATGGTCCACTTATCATCAATGAAGTATGCTCTTGGGCAAAAAAATGAAAAGAAAAAATCTTTATGTTCAAGGTGGACTTTGAGAAAGCATTTGACTCGGTGAATTGGCGGTTCCTTGATTCCTTAATGGAACAAATGGGATCCATGGTTGTCATATTTCTTCTAGAGCATCAATACTTGTCAACGGGCATTAGACAGGGGGATCCATTATCCTCATTTTTGTTCATAATTGCTATGGAGGGATTAAATATTGCAATCAAGAGTGCTTCCCAGCAACAATCTGTTTAACGGTCTCAAATTACCTAATAATGGCCCATGTCTTACTCATCTATTCTAGGCGGATGATACCATTTTTATTGGAAAATGGGAAAGTAGTTGCATCAAGAATTTAGCTCGAATCCTCAAGTGTTTCCATATCAGCTCTGGCCTCAAAGTAAACTTCCACAAGTCCATGCTATTTGGTATTGGCGTGACTGATGCTGAATTTCAAGTTCAAGCAAATGTTCTAGGTTGTGCAAAAGGATCTTTTCCATTCATGTATCTGGGAATCCTTGTTGGGGCGAATATGACCATAAAAAAGAATTGGCGACCGATAATCGAAAAGTTTCAATCGAGATTGTCGTTGTGTAAAGCTAAGACCTTATCTTTTGGTGGTCGACTAACATTAGTAAAATCAGTTCTTAAAAGTCTCCCAACATATTATTTCTCATTATTCAAAGCACCAAACGGAGTTATTGACGATCTTGAATTACTCAGACGTAGGTTAACGTGGGGTGGTGATGACACAAAGAAAAAAATTCATTGGGTACCATGGTGAAAGGTAATTGCACACAAAAAAAGATAGTGGTCTCAGTGTTAGTTCTTTAAAAGCCCAAAATCTTGCTCTCATCACTAAATGGTTATGGCGACTCAAATCAAACACAGAAACCATATGGAACAAATGTATTGTTAGCATTCACAATTTATTTAGAAAACCATTATGGTATCTGGCGAAGAAAATGTTCCCGGGTGTCTGGACTAATATCGACAAGGCCATCAAAACCCTTCCTGATACACAAATTGATCATCAATCATTATTCTCTGTGGTTCCCGGTTCGAATGTGCAAGCTCTGTTCTGGTTGGATCGGTGGTGTGGCAATAATACTCTTAAAAACATGTATCCACTGTTGTATGAATTGGAGTCCGTAAAAAGATGTTTCATCATTGAAAGAATCTCTGATTCAAGTTTCACATGGTGCTGTCTGAAGGAATCTCTGATTCAAGTTTCACATGGTGCTGGAAATCAGCACATTACAGGGGATAATGTTCTATTAGAATTTTTGCAATTATGATCGACCCTTAACAACATCAGAATCATACCTGATGTGTTGGGTATTAGATTCAACCTCAACAATGATGGTGTATACACAGTAAATACACTAAGAAAAAAATGACTCTACGGCGTGTTCACACAATGGCTTGTTGGTCGAATGGTCAAAGATGATTCCTCTCAAATTAAGGTGCTTTGTATGGCGAGTTGCTTTGAGAAGAATACCAGTTGCAACAAAATTTGTTCGTAGGGGTATTAATGTCCAATCCAATTTATGTTAGTTATGTGGAGTGGAACCTGAGACGATAGATCATCTTTTTGTCACTTGCAAGGTTGCGGAAGAAACACGTGATTGGATTTTCAAATGGTGTCGTATTTCTAGAAGACAACTATCCAACATTGAGGAATATCTCAACTTTACTGCTTCTTAGGGGAATTGCCCTAAGAAAAAGTTGGTGGTCAATTTAATCTTCTATGGAATGATTTGGTATATTTGGGTGGCAATGAACAATAAGGTATATAATAAGGTGATTACTACCCCGAAAAAGATAGCGGACAAGATTATCTCTCAATCATTCACGTGGTTTAAATATAGGAGTTCCAATTCGCGCGGTAGTTGGATTGGTTGGTGTATTTCTCCTTTTAATTTTTGTTAATTGCCATTGTACTCTTTGTACTCTTTCCCATGATCTAGTTACTTGCTAATCATGTGGCTTTTAATATATTTGTCGTTTCCAAAAAAACGAAGTTTTTAAGAAATTCAAGGATTTCAAAGCGAAAGTGAAGAATATTATGGGTCTAAAAATAAACATATTGCAGATCGACAATGGGATGAATATTTCAAATAGTTTAAAAAACATAATAAAGAAAATGGCATTCAACATTATAAAATGATTGTATGTTATATGTCATAACAAAATGGTGTATGTGAAAGAACAAACAAAATAATCATGGAGATGAAGCATGATATGAGACAAATCCTAATATACACTAAGCATGGGGGCGTAGATGGAGGGGCCAAGTGGACAGCTGCAAAATGCCTAATTTTTTTGGGGCTAATTTTTTTCTTATGTTATATATGTGTGTATGTGTTTATATATATATATATATATATATATATATATATAGACACACACACATATATATATATATATATATATATATATATATATATATATATATATATATATAATTTATTTATTTAAAAATAAAAAGCTTATAATAACAATAAAAACATTTTTTTGGGTTCGTCCAAGACATGGTATAGGATCGGGCTCGTAAAAAATATATGGGTTTTGGTTCGGCTCCTATACAATATACCCTAATTGCCTGAATGATGTTTTATTAAATATTTCTTTATTTAATATATATATATATATATATATATATATATATATATATATATATATATATATATATATATATATATAAAGCATAAAATTTATATTATATACATGTGGGCTCATTTAGCCTCACAACTAATTATGCTTAGTAACACATGCTTAAGCTCGAACTCATTTGTTAAACAAGTCTAATATTAAGATCGATCGGGCTTGACTTAGGGCCTGTTTTAAATTTAGAGTTGAACTTTTAACAAGTTAATCTCTAGTAACTTGATTCGTTTGTACATGGGTGGCTTAGAGGCGGGGCAAAGTGGGCAGCTGAACAGGCTTAAATTTTTTTTATTTTATATTTTTATTTAAAAATACAAAATTATAATAAAGATAAGGGCTCTTTTTTTCTTGTTTGTCCTGGACCTTTAAGAATATTTCATTTTTTTCTTGTTTGTCCTGGACCTTTAAGAATATTTCATTTTTCAGGACCAGCCCTGCGTTTGTACCCTTAGTGTCCACCATCCAAAAGACTTTTGGAGTAAAAAGCAAGTTTAATTCACAGAGAGATTGTTAGCAAAATAAATCAACTTGCATGGCATTGTGTATAAGTTTTATTATACTTATATTTATTGTTCTTGTAACCTACAAAGTAAATAGTGGAACTTAAGATAGCAACAGAAGGTAACCATTGACGGGTCTAGTAATTTATGGATATATTTTGTATGTGATAAATGTAATCTATAAATTATCTTCATTTTCTTGTTTTTCATGTATATATGATAAAAATGGTGAAATTATATTGTCATCTCCAAGATATATATTTTATGTTAAAGTTATTGCCAACAAAAATACAATTCAATAGGAGTTTTTAAATTGGAGATAACTTACTATGTTCCAACGACCCTTTTAGTGGTTGCCTCGGTCTCATTATGCTTGAACATTCTTGCCATACCAAAATCGGAAATTTTGGGGTTCATAGTCTCATCTAAAAGGATGTTACTTGCTTTTAGATCTCTATGAATAACTCTCATTCTCGAGTACTTATGTAGGTATAACAACCCTTGAGCAATTCCTTCAATAATATCAAACCGCTTAGGCCAATCCAGCTGTCCCTTTTTATTTTCATCTGCAAGACAGTTAAAACTCTAACAAATATCACAAGTAAAACCACTATATGCACTAATGTTAGAAACAAAACATACCAAAGAGAAAGAAATCTAAACTTTTGTTGGGCATATATTCATATATTAACATCTTTTCTTCCCCATGAATGCAACAACCAAGAACCCGAACGAGATTTGTATGTTGGAGTTTCGCGATAAGGACTAGCTCATTCTTGAATTCCACCAGCCCTTGGCATGATGTTCTTGAAAGCCTTTTGATTGCAATTTTTCGTCCATCACTTAGTTGTCCCTGTTTTCACAATTTCATGACATCTCTATTTGTCATAATAATAGAGATACCAATGCAAGAACTAAATATATGTATCAATTAATTAAGTTTGTCTGGAAAGTAAGAGACCTTGTAAACAGGTCCGAAACCACCTTGTCCAAGCTTATTTTCAACTGAGAAGTCATCAGTAGCAGCCATGATAGCACTAAAGCTAAATAGTAACAAGTAATTTCCTTTCCTACCATTAGTTTCAACCTGATGTACATCCTTGAAGCTTTCAGAAGTGGTCAAATCCACGAAATATTCATCTCTCTTCCGTCTCTCGTATTCTACAATCAGAATCAAAAGCTTAACAAAATATGAAACTATAACGCACCAAAACAAGCTAGATTTTATATCATTGCTAGTTTTGTACCTTTTCGACTATCTTTTATCTTCTTTATATAAAAGAAAAACCCAAAACACAAGAAAATGAGAAGAATGGCAATCCCATTGAGTATCCATACACTGTTCTTGCTCTTTTCGGTTTTGTTTACTGCATAGTGACTTCTAGGTTCAAAGATGTTTATTAATGGCAGAAAAAACAATTGGAAATAAACAACATTAAATATACCTGATCTGATTGGATTATGGTTGATTACATACTTTGACGTAGAGTTATCACGAGGATTAACCAAAAAGTTATTACTTCCAGTCCATATAACACAGCCAGTTCCATTGATGATACTGCTACTAAATCCTACACAGCTGCAATCTTTCCAACACTCAACAAAACAATCGCTAATGCTTAGGTTTGTGTCCTCATCGATAGCATTTCTTGTCATGTCATTCGCAAAATCTCCGTTCATCTTACTAAAATTATCACTCACTCGCCGACACTGTGGTAAACTCGACTCCACACAACCATTACTAGAATCGTACCCATAACAAAACTCAGGGGTCCAAAAAGAGTTATCTATATCTGTAATTTGACCTTTCTCCGTCAAAATCCACATTGGTGTAGCACTATTATTGCCATCGTAGCTAAAGTATCGTGTTTCATTGTTGTATACAGAAGTAAGGTGATATCTAGACTTGCTACTTGGGGCGTTCAATGCAACCATATATTGAAATACTTGATTGTTTAGATTCCCACTAGTCCAGTAGGGTTTTCCTCGTCTTCGAATCATCAATCTTTGGGATGTTTCTTCAATGGGCTCCCAGCTCATAGTAAAAGCTCCTGAAGAAGGTATATCATTGCTCACCCAAGAAGTCAAGGTCCAGTTCTTCCCTGTTGTGATATCATATCCAAGCTTCATACCAGGTAAAAGTACATTAGTTGGGTGATCAAAACTCTCCCACAAAACCCTTTTATCAGTTTCATCAATCAACCTAAAATTACCATTATCTTCGAGGATTGCAGTCACATTAGGGTTTGGACCCATTTGAACATTGGTAATACTCATTAGAGTTCTCCCTCCTGCAATGATGATCAAGTCTCCAGTATTGACATCAATGGAGAGGGCATGGGCACCTGAAGTGGATTTGATCGGCGTATTTGGATTAGCTACCCATACTTTCCTAGATTCAACATCATTAGTGTACCAAATTCCCAAGTAACTATAATCCTCATTGAAAAACCCTAACGTAAAATTCCCACCGATGGAAACAAGTTGATCTGTAGAGTTGAGTTGGCTTCCATGTTTGATCGTTGAAAATGAATCGGAAGCAGGACAAAATCTGATACTGTAATCAGCACCATTACATCTATATATAGTATTCAAATCATCAAACACAGAGTTATAAGATCTCGGGCATGCAGATTTAAACAACTGAGCGTACGTTGTCGGTTTGCATGTCGTGTCTGTTGATGTTATCGAGATCGTGCAACAATATTCTGGTGATCCAAACGCCTGGCAAGCCGTCTGACACGCTCCTCCACCACTCAAAGTCAACTCAGTTGGACACCATTGATTCAAGTCATCAACACAACCTGTCTTCGCACAACTACGTAACCCAGAACCAGATCCACCAGTTGTCTCCACAAGAATTGGCAAGTTGTAGCCATCTTCAAGGCTGACGTAATAAAAGTTCAAGCCTTTAGGGTCACCGATGTTGATATCTACAGTTGTAACGGGGGGTGTATATGAGTTTCCATTGCACTCCACTTGCCCAGTGCCACAGTCACCGGTGGCGCATGACCAGTTGCCGGATTCATTGAAACTGCAACCAGTCCTACCCCAGATACGACCTACCCAGTTATCGGGAGGTTGAAGAGATCGTGAATTGCCATTTTTTAACTCGAATCCCGTAGTATTGAAATAAGGCCATGGAGTGATTCCAGGCCAAACTGAGAACCCGCAGTCGTTAACAAAAGTAAAAGTTGCGCCTAAAGCTCCTGCAAGTATGCACAAAATTGCGTATAGAAGAAAAGATTTGTGTGTGTTTTTAGTATAGAGGTATGTATTTACCATTACAAAAGAAGAAAAGAAAACCCAGAATTTGAGGAACCATTGCTACATCAAGTTGTGAAGAAGATGGTGATGACGTAAGAACCATTTTTTGAAGACATGAACTCCTTGTAGAGTATCTATCTAGTAGATACAAAATGTGAAGTTATACATCATTGAATTTAATATGTATAAAACTTCTGAAAGATATTACGTACATTAATGCATCAAATCATTGCAATTTATGCATATCAAAAAAGGATTTATTTGAGCCTCAATAATCTATAATTTATCTCAAAGAATCACAATTAAGCGGAGTATTTGACAAAGAAGGTCCAATTTATGATTAAAGTCTACCAAATTGACAAAGAACATATGTAGAATTAAGATGTTGAAAAAAGCATAACATTATAACATTACAATCTTTGATGCAGGAATTGTCAAATTTTACAAACGAACAGAACAGCAAAACTCCCAATCAGCAAGAGTGTGAACAATTTGACGAAAACTAACAAAAACTTATGTCGAGAAAAGGATTTAGAAGCATGCAAGAACGTAATTTATCAAGAGAATAACATTAGATGTCCCATCTTTTCTACATAATTTACGAAATTGTGATTGTGATTTATTCTAGTAGTAAACAAAACCTCCAATGAAGAAAAAGATTGTGAGAGGTACCAAGAATATAATTTGCATTGTAGTATAATATAAGCTGCAGATTAAGCGTTTCAATTTCCTTATTTTGTGTTGTTTAACAATAGCCAAAATTCCACAAATGTAAGTAATCATTCAGCAGAGGTTAAAATTTTTAAATAGCTACCATCTACCTCAAACGTTTGAGGTCCGAACCCCAGATACAAATGCACCATGCATCAACAAAATACAGTAGAAAAATACAAGTTTTTACCTCTTTGACTCTCTCACTGCACGTTTCCTGCTGCAAAAGACAAAGCAAGATACAAATGCATCATGTATCTCGTAATCTAACAAAATCAGAGTTCACAACTTTATACGGTAAACACAGCGAGAGTTATTTCTTTTGGGGGCCGGCATTGATTGAGACCAGTTTAGCTTTGGGCCGGCTGTCCTCATCCTAACATGGATCCAAATAAGGGAAGTAACTTATAACTACAAGAAATATTGACTTTAACACTTTACGGAAATGTTAATTATTTTTCCTTTATTTTAAATGATTAATCTAATTCTTGCATTATATTATGAATAAAAGTTAAAAATATATCATTCACTAAATAACATATAACTTGAAAATGTATTACCATACAATAACGTTTTGTTGGTGATTTTATATCATCAAATATTATTTAAGTGTAATAGGATTAAATTTGTTGACCAAAAGTGATCTTGTTGAATATTAAACAAGTTAGGATGGTGTAGGAGTGCACAATTGTTCAAGTTTTTCAAGATATAAAGTACATTGTTATTTAGGGGCGAAGCCCCTAAATGAATGGGGGTCCGGGGGCAGCGCCCCTGGGAGCGGGGTCCCAGGGGCAGACCCCTGACTATGTTGCTATATTAAAAATTGCATCAAAAATCCAATTTTAGAAAGTTGACCCTTATTTTTCTTGAGATCCGTTTAATGACAGTTTGCTAGTTTTATGACAGTTTGTAACTGTCTGTTGACAGTTTTCAGACAAGATTGATATATTCGTTTTTTGGTCACTTTTCTGGAACATCTTGAAGAACATTTTTCATATACATTCTCAGATTTCATTCTCTGAATTTCATACAATTGAGTGTTCAATCTGTACCATCGAAATACTTCAATTTGATAGTGAATCACGACTTTCAGAGAATCCAAACAATCTATCCATCCCCTTTTTCTAACAAAAATTGAAGTATTCTGTAATCATGGCAAGTGGTGATTCTGTGAAGGATATGACAAGCAAGTTTGATAAATTGAACAAGTTTGAAGGGCAAGATTTTCGTAGATGACAGAAGAAGATGAACTTTCTCCTTACCACTCTGAAAGTGGTGTATGTTTTGAGTACACCCATACAAGTCTTACCAAAATCTGTTAAAGATGAACCTTTGGAGGAAACAAGAAGGAGATCAAAGTGGGAAAATGATGATTACATATGTCGTGGTCATATTCTCAATGGTATGTCTGACTCTCTTTTTGATATCTATCAAAATTTCGAATCCGCAAAAGAACTTTGGGATTCTCTTGAATCCAAATACATGGCTGAAGATGCTTCTAGCAAGAAGTTTCTTGTTAGTAACTTTATGGGTTACAAGATGATTGACTCCAGGCCTGTTATGGAACAATTTCATGAAATGTTAAGGATCCTAGGACATTTTCTCAACAAAATCTGAAAATGGATGAAGCCATTGTTGTGGCTGTGATAATTGACAAATTGCCCCTTTCTAGAAAGATTTTAAACATAATCTAAAACATAACAAAGAGGAATTAACTTTGACTCAACTTGGAAGTCATTTACAGATTGAAGAGTCCTTAAGGACTCAAGAACTTGATAACAATCCTAAAGGCAAGAACCAAGTTGGTTCCTCTTCTGTGAACATGGTGGAAGGAGAAAATTCAAAGAATCCCAAGAAGTCTAATGGAAAAAGGAAGTTTAAAGGAAAGGATGACAAGTCTTCCAACAAGAAGGCTAAGTTGGTTTGTTGGAATTGTAACAAACCGGGTCACTTCAAGAAAGATTGTCATCTCCGCAAAGTGAATAAGGATGGTACTGGACCAAGTGGATCCAAGGATACAGAAAAGCAACAAGGTCAGATATATGTTTCATTGCAGAATTCTAAATATATTAAGAATTGTATTTCTATGATTTCTAAGCATTTTATGTGTAGGATGATAAAGTTGCATGGTGGGTTGATTCAGGAGCAACAAGTCATGTTTGCAAAGATCTATATTGGTTCGAGGACTTTCAACCAATTGAAGATGGATCTGTTGTTAAGATGGGAAATGTTGCAACTGAACCAATCAAGGGAATAGGATTTGTTTTACTTACTTTTACTTATGGGAAATGTTTTTGTTTGAACAATGCTTTATATGTTCCAGGGATTCATAAGAATCTCGTGTTTGAAATTGTATTAAATAATTCTGGTTACAAACAAGTGTTAGAAAGTGATAAGAATATCTTGTCAAGACATGGTTCTTTTATGGGATTTGGATATATATATATATATATATATATATATATATATATATATATATATATATATATATATGTAATGGAATGATTAGGATTAATATTAATTATCCTTCTAGTGATAATTCTGTTTGCATAGCTTCTAGTAGTATTAGTAATAATTTTCATAAATCTAAATTATGGCATGCTAGACTAGGACACATTAATTACAAGACATTAAAAGACATGTCTAAAATGAGTTTAATTCGTGCTTTTGATATGCAAAATAATGAAAAATGTAAAACATGCATGCTAACTAAAATCACTAGACAACCTTTCAAAGATGGTGTTAGGGAAAGCAAAGTGTTGGATCTTATACATAGTGATTTATGTGATTTCCATGCAACACCTTCCCTTGGGGTGAGGCAATGTTAACTGCATGTTACATCTTGAATAGAACTCCAAATAAAAGGACTAAGAATACTCCTTATGAACTTTGGTGTAAAAGGGTACCAAATTTGAGTTATCTCAAAATTTGAGTTAACTGCATGTTACATCTTGAATAGAACTCCAAATAAAAGGAGTAAGAATACTCCTTATGAACTTATGAACTTTTGGATCTGATTTTCAACTATATTTAGTTGAAGGAACAAGGAATGAAACTATTTCTCAACATCAATATTGTTTTAATATTGAAGAGGGCCCAAAGACTTTCAATGAAGCTATGGCTTCTAGGGATGTTCATTTCTGGAAAGAGGCAACTCATGATGAGATTGATTCTATTATGCATAACAATACTTGGGTATTGGTTGATTTACCTCCTGGTTGCAAGGCATTAGGATGTAAATGGATCATCAAAAGAAAAATGAAGGTGGATGGCACAATTGATAAGTATAAAGCCAGATTGGTTATCCAAGGCTTTAGACAAAAGGAAGGCATTGATTTCTTTGATACTTATGCTCCTGTTGCCAGAATTTCTACTATTAGATTATTATTAGCTCTTGCAGCTATCCATAATCTTCTGATTCACCAAATGGATGTGAAAACTGCATTCTTGAATGGTGAATTGGATGAGGAAATATACATGAAACAACTTGAAGGGTTTGTGATGTCTGGAAATGTACACTAAGTGTACAAGTTAAAGAAATCATTATATAGTTTGAAACAAGCACCAAAACAATGGCATCAAAAGTTTGATGATGTTGTCTTGTCTAATGGTTTTGCATTAAACCAAGTTGACAAGTGTGTATATAGCAAATTTGATACTTCTAGAAAAGGAGTCATGATTTGTTTATATATGGATGATATGTTAATTTTTGGTACTGATTTAGAAGAAGTTAATAAAACCAAGAAATTCTTATCATCCAATTTTGAAATGAAAGAGTTGGGGGAGGCTGATGTAATTCTTGGTATAAGAATTAAACAAGGAAACAATGGGATTTCAATTTCTCAATCTCATTACATTGAGAAAATATTGAAAAAGTTTAACTTTGAGAATTGTTCTCCTGTTAGCACTCCTATAGATCCTAGTCTCAAGCTTTTGCCAAATAAAGGATCTCCAGTGTCTCAACTTGAATATTCTAGGGCTATTGGTTGTCTAATGTATGCCATGATTAGTACTAGGCCTAATATATCATATGTTGTGGGAAAGTTTAGTAGATATACTATTAATCCTAGTTCACATCATTGGAAAGCTGTGAGTAGAGTATTCAAGTACTTGAAAGGGACCATTAATTATGGTTTAACTTATAGTGGATATCCTTATGTTTTGGACGGTTATTCAGATTCTAGCTAGATTAACAACTTATAGAGGATCACTCCTCTACAAGTGGTTAGGTGTTTCTTCTTGGAGGAGGTTCCATTTCTTGGGTGTGCAACCCGAAATTTCCAATTGTTTTGTCTCCACAATTAAGCAATCCCAAAAAAAAAAAAAAAAATAGCCAAATTTATTTCAAAATATTTTTGGCCGGATTTAAGCCCATTAGAATATTTTAAATAA